GCTGCACAACCTAATCACCATTGATTGTAAAGGCAGGAAAGTTAAGTCTAAGTTCAACTTAGCCGTAAGTCAAAAACTAAAACATATTCATATAATTTCATTCCACCCCTTTGCATTATTCGCATTTATTAGATAATCACGGTCATTACTATAATCACAGTGGCTCGTATTTTCATCAGGTTATCATAACAGCGGGTTGAATAAACGAAGTTTCAGTCAGTCAGATTCGATGACAGCGTCCTATCGCATCGCAGACGCAGACGTGTCACACTGAGCATCCAACGATCAAATACAATACAGATACAATTATACAAATAAGATTATTAAAAATTATACAAATATTACAAAACAAAAACAATTTATAATTACTAAGATTTAGAGTGAGTTTACACAGAAACGACATGTCAGAACATGGTTTATCTATACACAATGCAGAGAACTTGGTCAATCGAATGAATGATCAGTAATGGTGTTCCGCTCTATGTCTCACAAACTTTCTTCAAGGTAGAGAGGTGGGTTAGCTTTGGAAGTCATTTTCGTCATTCGCCGTGGATCGAACGTTCAGATCAGAAGGCCCTCTGGCTTTCTTACGTTATGGTTCAAAAATATGAACAGCTACAAATGTCTTAAAGGGATTTCCGAAGCTAACCCAAATCTCTATGTTGAAGAAAGCCAATGAGACGGGACTGAAATGTCGGTACTGGCAGATCATCTAACTGATCAAATTGTGTGCACTATGTATAAATACAGCGTGAAGGTTGTTTTTAGCATACAACGAATTAAATTCTCCATTTTAAAGTTCACAAATGTTGCAGTTACGTTTAAAATTCCTTGTCATTTACCTTTTTAATACTGAAAACAGTCACTTTCGTGTATTTGTGAATGAGTGATTTTGAGAGATTGTCAAGAAAAATGGGTCAGCAGAGAAAAACAGCGTTGGATCCCATGATGTTACTAAAGGCTAAATGGAAGGGCAACGTAAGGAACGACTCTGTTGGGCTCAAATAGACAAACTGAATGAGCATTAACAGTTTACTACCTATATCACCGGATCTTGTGATATGGAAACTGGATTAATGTAGAGGCAATCCTGGCTAGCCAATGGCAAAAATGAACAAGATTAACGGTCATGCAGTTAAAGAGGTACAGTTTTTTCAGTGACGCACAAACAAGTGCCTCATAACAAAAGGATTGACAGGATGATAATGCAGTGAATCACAAATCAGATACGTCTGCTAGTGTCGGCGGCTCAAAGCCATGACCAGAGCAAAACCACTTACAAATAGAACT